GGTTGGAATGTCGAACTGAACCCTTTATTTCGCTCACTGGGGTAGACTGTTCTAGTTCCACGTGACATGTTTGATGGATGTCAGTTATCAGTTATCTCCTGTTAATTTCCCTCCACTGCCTTAACCGGGTATTGAACTCACGCTCTTTGGGTCTGTCACTGGATCTAACCAATGCCTTTATCCATTGTGCCATCAAACATGGCACGTGGAACTAGAACAATCTACCCCAGTGAGCGAAATAAAGGGTTCAGTTCGACATTCCAACCACCTGAAGAAGGCCGGAGCGTACAACGGCCGAAACGTTGTGACAAATATGGTGACAAAGATGAGGACAATAGTCCGACTAATGTAAATACTGTACATAATACCTCATCTCAGAAATATAGACAGATTATATTTCTAAATTACTTAAAAACAGTAGTCTCAACTGTGGAACCATCTCCATCAACGACACAGGATTTTTTTTGTGTTTGGAAGCGTTTTTTTTTTTGTTTTTTTTTCTCCTTTCCAGAAATAAAAGAGCCTCAAATGATGAAATTTCATGCTTTCGATATTCATGTAAAAACATTTATAATATATATTTGAAATTGTAGCTTATCTTCCTTCAAGACATAAACGATCATAATTACTCACAACTTCCTATAACTTGTGACCCTTAGCAGTTTTTCTCCCTTTTCTAAGGCCCTGGCTCTCATCCCACCATCAATTCCCACAAGCAAGTCAGGTAGGTGGCTAACTGCCTTCCACTATATCGCCATGCTACTTGAGCGTTAACTTTTCCAAGCCTGCTTTCCTCATTTTGTGTTCAAAGAAATTGAGTCGTCTTTTCATGCTTTTGAGACAAAGTGTTCTTTTTTGTGACCATTTTCTTTTAGAATTCCTCTTTCATCTTATGCTCCGTCCATGGAATTCACAATAGTCTGCTGTAGAACTACGTTTGTTGCCTCAAATCTCCTCTTCGTCTGTGGGGAGACTGTCCACTAATTTTTTATTGGAAGTTGTTATAAATTTGGTGATGCCGCATAATATTATTTTTAGGTTGCTCATAATGTTTAAATAAATATTTATAATAGTATAATTACTTACATGTGTTTTATCATTTAAGAGATGTAACGAGTGCTATAGTGTCGAAAAAGATATAACCTCAAGATATTGTAAAGAAATTGAGTGATGGGACACAACATTGGAATTACGGAAATGTTGAATGGAATGGTGTGCGTAAATTTCACATACACGCGTATAGTACAGTTTGATTTGGTTTATTTTGTTTTATTGCATATCAACACCTTAATCTTACTTATTATAAAACCCAGGTTGTGTGTGTGGGTCTGTACGTTTATATATTGGATCGGATTTCCTACATTTTTCAACTGATTTCAACAAAACTTCACAGGACTACGCAAAATTACCTTGCGCTGGTTCTGACAGCGCCAAAAATTGGGAAAACACAATTTTTTTTGCACGAAATCAATTTGAAAACACGATTAAGAGACATCGCTGTCGAGAATGAAAGGGGGACAACTCATATCGAGTTATACTTATTATAAAACCCAGGTTGTTTGTTATGTGTGTGTGTGTTCGTTTATATATGGGATCGGATTTCCTACATTTTTCAACCGATTTCAACAAAACTTCACTTTTTTTGGCAGGTAGTGTTTCTTATTGTCTTGCACACTTTTTTCTTTATTTTTACATTCAGAATTCTTTAAAAATTCTATTTACAAGACAATTGTTTATAATAAAATTCTATTCAATCGGTAGACTCATAACGATTGAAAACGAATTTTTTGTTTGAGTTTGGGTTTGACCAATTCGTAAAAAAAAAAAAAAATCTAATTAAGACATGCGTGTCCGCCAACCTTAAACAATAATCTTTGTCAATTTTATTTTTCAGTCTTTATGATGGTCGATACTTGATCTATCTCTTACTGTTACATCCCCGGGCAACGCCGGGTTCTACTGCTAGTGGGCTATATAATGCTGACAAGATTTTCAGGATAGGTGCATAAAAGAATATGTATTCTTTGTAAGAAATCAGTTTGTAGAACAGGTTTCATTGACGTACTTTTGTAAAGAGTGTTTATTTTCCGAGAGTCAAATGTATTTCTGGTAATAATTTTTTTCTCAAAAATGTATTTCTGGTATTTTCTAAATTATAATGTTGGTAAAAATTTTTTTTCGAAAATGTATTTCTGGTCCCATTTTTTCAAAAATGTATTGCTGTTAATGTTTTTTTAAAAAGATATTGCTGGTAATAATTTTTTTTTTTTTATTTTCCCAAAATATGTTGCTGGTAATATATATATATATATATATATATATATATATATATATTAAAAAAATCAATTTCTGTCAATATTTTTTTTCAAAAATGTATTGCTGGTAATATTTTTTTCAAAAATGTATTGCTGCTAATTTTATAGTATGAAAATGTATTTCTTGTATTTTTCCTATGAAAATGTTTATACTTTCATAATGTTTCGAACCCAGTTTGGGGGTTAACTATTTTCTCATAGCTTTGATCCTAACAGGTGCTCTCACACCAGGTCAGGGTGAACATGGGAATAACAACAATTAGGAGGTGGTTCCATGCTCCTCAAAATTCTTCGATGAGAGGCTTTGCTGCCGGATGCAGTTTATCGTCATACCCAGGACGGACGTATCGTATAGGTAATATCATGTGGCGTACATTTTCACCATCAGTAACATTAGTTTAAAGAGTGTATAAAATATTTTTCTATGCATTTAAAATAATAATAATAATAATAATAGTAATAATAATAATAATAGTAATAATAATAATAAAGATGTCACCATTCTATGGGATTATACCATCCACACAGACAGAAAAATTGAAGCAAATAGGCCGGACATTATTGTCAAAAACCAGAAAGAAAAAACTTGCCTACTAATTGATATGGCTTGTCCAGCGGATTGTAACATAGCAACCAAGGAATTTGAAAAACTATCAAAATACAAAGACCTGGAAATTGAAATAGAAAAAATGTGGAAATTGAAAACAAGAATAATACCAGTGGTAATAGGTGCACTTGGAATTATAAAAAATGGAACAAAACAACACATTGAAAGAATCCCTGGAAACCCCAGCTTAAGAGACATACAGAAAATTGTCTTATTAAGTACAGCACACACACTAAGGAGAACTTTGTCTATGTAACGCTAGCAACTTCATCGGAGATAAAAAAAAAAAAAAATTAACATGAAATGTGGCCATAACAACACACCACGACCTGCCTTAGGTCTTTCCCATAGACTTGGTAGGTAGTGTGTCCATAGTAGAAATCGAATGATGATGATGATAATAATAATAATAATAATAAAAAAAATGCTGGAAAAAAGTTACTAAATAAAGAATTAATTTGTTTCTTGTCTGTCTTATTTAAAAGAAGATGTTTAGTGTGCTGCCTAAATATACATTATCTATCTATCTATCTATCTATCTATCTATCTATATATATATATATATATATATATATATATATATATTTTTTACATATATATATATATATATATATATATAAAGAGATTGAATGATAGATAATGTATATTTATCTATATATATATATATATATATATTTACACATATATATATATATATATATATATATATATATAAAGATAGATAGATAGATAGATAATGTATATTTATCATCATTTAGGCATCATCTATCTATCTACCTATCTCATATATATATATATATATAGAGAGAGATAAATAATGTATATTTATCTCGTTACCCTCCTCTCTCTCTCTCTCTCTATATATATATATATATACATATATATGTATATATATATATATATATATATACATATATATATATATATATATATATATATATATATATATATACATACATATATATATATATATATATATATATATATATATATATATATATATATATATATATATATATATATATGAAGTAAAATTAAAAAATCTGTTGGTATATAATCTAAGTGGATCCTAGTAATATAAAATATTAAAAAGTGATACACAAGAAGAGCTCAATGTATTTATTATTACAGAGCAAATAATTAATAAACAATAAAATCCCAAATCACCTCATATGGGGAAAAGCCTATTTCGGCAAACGAAGATATCGATCGTCTGATTTATCAATATGTGTGTGTGTGTGTGTTTGCGAATGCATACGCCTACCCGTATGTGTGTGTTTCTGAGGGTATTTTTTTATTTGAACATTTCATCTCAAAAGTTTTTTTTTTTTTTAATTGTCGTTAATTTATTACCGATTTACAATTGTGTAGAAGACAAATAAGGATTGATTGTTGCTTTTAACATTTCTGGGAGAAAATTCAGCATTAATCCTTTTTTTTTTTTTTTACTTTCGTTTCACTCTCAAAATTCGGAGCATTTCAAGCCTCGGAATATTTTCTCCAATTATTTAGAGCCCCCTGTATATTTTTTTTTTCCTCCCGTATTTTCAAGCTAAGACCTCAAGTGTGCCCCACGTTCATGATTTAGGAGCTGACTGGCACGCCCTTTCCTAAGCTAGAGTGAGAAAAGCGAAGATTTATATAAATCTTTTTGAAGGTTGAAAACGAGATTTGGGAAAGTTGACATAGAATAAAGATAAGAAAATGTCGCGCTTTTTTTTCTCGCATTATTGTTTTTTAATAATTTCGCACGTTTTTTATTAAAAGAATTTCTTTTATGGATCCGTATTTTCTTAAAAAAAAAAAAATGGTATACGTGAAGATGGGAAAAAATTAACGATGAAAGCATTTTATAACCCTAAATAATAATTCTTTTTCAAGCAAAGAGATCGTAACGAGGAAAATACTGTTGGTTCGTCTATTTATTTCGAGAGGAATTTTTTATCAATTTTTTTTTTATTTTCTTTTAACTTATTTGGTTTACGTCGAGGCTTTTTACCGTTGGCAAAAAAAAATGGTTTTATTTTGAAACAATTTTTACAAAATAAAAGAAAGAAAAAGGATTAAAACACTTTATTATGACAGCGACATTTTCTTTCTTTCATGACGTTGTTTACTTTGTTCTTTCTTTCTTTTCCTCCATTGATTACTTCTTTCTTTTTCTTCTTTCTTTCTTTCTTTCTTTCTTTTCCCCCATTATTTACTTCTTTCTTTTTCCTCTTTCTTTCTTTCTTTTCCCCCATTATTTACTTCTTTCTTTTTCTTCTTTCTTTCTTTCTTTCTTTCTTTATTTCTTTCTTTATTCCTTTCTTTCTTTCCCCCCATTATTTACTTCTTTCTTTTTCTTCTTTCTTTCTTTCTTTCTTTCTTTCTTTCTTTCTTTCTTTCTTTCTTTCTTTCTTTCCCTTGTTTACCTCTTGTATTTCTTTCTTTCTTTCCACCATTTCTTACTTTTTCTTTTTGCCACCGTTACTTCTTTCTTTTTTCTTTCTTCGTCCCTTCCTTCCTTCGTTCCTTCTTTCTTTCTTTCTTTCTTTCTTTCTTTCTTTCTTTCTTTCTTTCTTTCTTTCTTCCCCTTGTTTACCTCTTGTCTTTCTTTCTTTCCACCATTTTTTCCTTTTTTCTTTTTCTTCTTTCTTTCTTTCTTTCTTTCTTTTCCCCCATTATTTACTTCTTTCTTTTTCTTCTTTCTTTTTCATCTTTCTTTTTCTTCTTTCTTTCTTTCTTTCTTTCTTTCTTTCTTTCTTTCTTTCTTTCTTTCCCTTGTTTACCTCTTGTATTTCTTTCTTTCTTTCTTTCCAACATTTCTTACATTTTTCTTTTTTCCACCGTTACTTCTTTCTTTTTTCTTTCTTTCTTTCTTCGTCCCTTCCTTCCTTCGTTCCTTCGTCCCTTCTTTCTTTCTTTCTTTCTTTCTTTCTTTCTTTCTTTCTTTCTTTCTTTCCTTCTTTCTTTCTTTCTTCCCCTTGTTTACCTCTTGTCTTTCTTTCCTTCTTTCCACCATTTTTTACTTTTTTCTTTTTTCCACCGCTGCTTCTTTCTTTATTTTTTCTTTCTTTCTTTCTTTCTTTCTTTCTTTCTTTCTTTCTTTCTTTCTTTCTTTCTTTCCATTGTTAACTCATTTTTCTTTGTGCCTATTGTTTGCTTTTTACTTCCCTTCTTTCTTTCTTTCGCTCTTTCTTTTTTTCTTTCGTTTATTCCATTGTTTACTTCTTTCTTTCTTCTCATTGCTAACTTGTCTTTCTTTCTTTTCGTTCAACCCATTGGTTATTTTTACTATCTTTCTCCGCATTGTTTCTTTCTTTCCTTCAATTGTTTGTTTGTTTCTTTCTTTCTTTAATTTGTTCTTTCTTAATATTTTAGTTGAATAATTTTTACTCATATTTATTCTGCATCTTTCTTTTCCCTCATTTTTGTCTTGTATTGTTTTCTTTCTTTCTTTTTACCATTGTGTACCTTCTTTCTTTACTATTGTCTATTTTTTCTTTCTTTTCTTCTTTCTTTCTTTCTTTCTTTCTTGATTATTTTTGTTTTCTTCTTTCTAATTTCTGTTTTTTTCTTTACTCTTGCAGTTTTTCATAACTTTATTTTATTCTATTCTTCCTTTTTTATATCTTTCTTTCAGTTTTTCTTTCATTGTTACCTTTTGTTTACCTCCTTTCTTTCTCTGCCATTTTGTGTGTGTTTTTTTTTGTTTCGATCGCTGTTCCTTTCATTCATTTGTTCATTTATTCCTTCTTTGTTTCTTCCTTTCTTTACCGTTATTTTCTTTCATTTTTCATTTTCTTCTGTCTTCGTTTTTTTCCCAGCTTATATTTCTTTTGACACTTTCATTCCATTCAAAAGTAACAGTTTTTCGCTTTTTAAATATATATAATCCGGTCAAGAAGTTTAAAGAATAAATGCGATTTCTGTTATTATTTTCTTTCTAAATTCTCTTTGTCGCCCATTTTTCTTTCGTTCTTCTGACACTTCCCTTCATTTCCTTTCAATTTAGTATGATATTCATTTCTTTAAACATCGTCTTTTCAATTTTCTTTTTACAGCCGCCTTCACCTAACCTCTATTTCAATCAACCTTTTTCAAACATAGATCTTTTTTCATGTAGCACCTTTTTCATCCAGCTTCTTTTTAACCAAGCGTCTTTTTTAAGCAGCCTTTTTTTTTACCAAGCCTCTTTTTATCTAAGATCTTTTTCACAATACCTCTTTTTCAAAATGCCTCTCTTTCACCAAGCCTCTTTTTCATCCAGCCTCTTTTTCGCCAAGGCTTGTTTTTATCTAACCTCTTTTTCCCAAAGCCTCTTTTTCACCAAGTCATTATTTCATCCTGCCTCTCTTTCACCAAGCCTCTTTTTCATCCAGCCTCTTTTTCGCCAAGGTTTTTTTTATCTCACCTTTTTTTTCCCAAAGCCTCTTTTTCGCCAAGTCATTATTTCCTCCTGCCTCTCTTTCACCAAGCCTCTTTTTCATCCAGCCTCTTTTTCGCCAAGCCTTTTTTTTTTCATCTAACCTCTTTTACTCAAAGCCTCTTTTTCGCCAAGGCTCTTTTCCATCCAGCCTGTTTCTCATCCACTCTTTTTCACCAAGCTCTTTTTTCATCCAGCCTCTCTTTCAAACAGCTCCCCTTTTACCTAGACTGTCTTTTTATTTATTTTCCTGTCTTGTTCTCTCCATTTTCTTAGGTTGAGGGACTCCCAAGAAAAAAACATTTGCTTACACATAATCTCTTTTCTATTAACGCGGTATTCTAACACTGTTTAGTTTACTTTCACTCTTCTCCAATTTCCCATTCAATAAATCATTTCTTATTTCAAGACAGACGAAAACCCTGCTTAAAGGCATTTTCAGATATTTGCATAAATTTTGGAAAGCCTCAGAAATTGACTGGTAATTGATCCTTTCTCTTCTCTCATCTATCTATCTATCTATCTATCTATCTATCTATCTATCTATCTATCTATCTATCTGTGTCCTTTCATTATCTATCTATCTATCTATCTATCTATCTATCTATCTATCTAACTAACTAACTAACTAACTATCTTTTTGGGTCTCTTCATTATCTATCTATCTATCTATCTATCTATCTATCTATCTATCTGGGTCTGCTCATCTATCTATCTATCTATCTATCTATCTATCTTTTTCTTTTCTTTTTTAATTCTTTCAATGCGATAAAGCAACTAAGACACAGGAGGTTACTTATACAGTCTAAAGACCATCTTAAAGCCATTTTTAGATATTTGTGCCAATTATAGGAAACCTTCACTTCCACTGATCTATCTATCTATCTATCTATCTATCTATCTATCTATCTATCTATCTATCTATCTATCTATCTGTCTGTCTGTCTGTCTTTTTCTTTTCTTTTTTTAATTCATTCAATGCGATAAAGCCACTAAAACGTAGAAGTTTACTGATACAGTCGAAAGACCATCTTAAAGGCATATTTAGTCATTTGCATAAATTATAGAAAGCCTTCATTTCTTCCGATATATCTATCTATCTATCTATCTATCTATCTATCTATCTATCTATCTATCTATCATTTCCCGTTCTGTTCAGATCTGTCTGTCTACAATCTTTTCTCTTGTAAATATTTTCATTCAATACAAGGCGATAAAGCCGCTAAGACGCAAGGAATTACTGAAAGTGAAGGCAACTGAGAAATTGCTGTTATGCAGAAAGGACAATAAAAGAACTGGGTTATAAGAAAGAAAGATAGAGAATGGCTAATAATGTCGCAATTCATTGTTTAAAGATAGTCATTCATAGAAAAAAAAGAAGCCGGAAGGAATCCTATAGGCGATAAACGCGAGAGAAAAAACTATTATAATAGAATATATGGTTATATCTAGCAATTTCAACTGTAAAATGATGAGACCTAGCTGCCAATCTAGCAATGCGCTTAAATTTCTGCCTTCAAGAGGCAAAAGAGGAGAGCGTATCAGAATAAGTAACATGAAAACGTTTATAGAAAAGCATTTTTGTTACGATGGTGAGATAGTGATTGAAGCCATGATGTCATGTATGAGCCAGGAACATTGCAGATTCTCCTTTCGAATTTGTTATCAAACGCTAGATTATCTATCTAACTATCTATCTCAGTCCCTTCATATCTATCTACCTTTCTATGTATCTATCATATGACATCTATCTATCTATCTCAATCTTTTCATTTCTGTCTCTCTTTACATATATATATATATATATATATATATATATATATATATAGTCTGTGTCATATCTATCTATGTATTTATATATCTATCCCAGTCCATTATATCTATCTATCTATCTATCTATCTATCTATCTATCTATCTATATATATATATATATATATATATATATATATATATATATATATATATATATATATATATATATCTCTTATATCTATCTATATATATATATATATATATATATATATATATATTACTCTATTTTATATTACTCTATATCTATCTATCTCAGTCTCTTCGTATCAATCTAACTTTCTATGTATGTTTCTATCTTTGTCTCTTCTCATCTATCTATCTATCTATCTATCTATCTATCTATCTATATATATATATATATATATATATATATATGCATATGAATCTTTTCATATCTATCTATCACAGGTTCTTTTCAGATTTATCTTGCTAGATACATAGATATTTTTTGTGAACATTCCTGAATATAAAAACTAAGCATAATCTCTAACAAGTACTCACTGTTCGGGCGCTCAGTGTATAAGACGCGAAAGCAACTTACAAACTCATTAAATTTGCACACACACACACAACATATAGAAGGAGACTAACGGACAAACAAAGGAATGGTAGACTTATAGGTATGTAAGATAGATTCTGGAGAGAAAAATTGTTTCGCACGACGCAGTGGAGGAACTCTCTTGGCAGCGGACCCAGTAATTCATTCACTATACTCTTGTCAACTGAGAACGTTAACCCAAGAGGGTGCAACGAGTCGTTTTGTTGGAGGTTAGCATCAGCCAGGAAGAGGGGGGCCTTTAAGATGATTAATGAAGAGAACCAGAAGTTTGGAGTCATTAAAATTAACACGCTATCATTTGCTAGAGTCAACGTCTGCTTTTAGAAAGATCACTTCTGCAACTTTTCACCGACAAGTTTCAAAGAATCCTCTTTTAGAGAAGGTGCCGTTGTTGCTAGAATTTCTTTCCAGATCGATAATCCAAAAAGAAAGAGAAGATGGATGAATTTCCAGGAAGAAATTTGCGATTAGCTCTTTTTTTAGCGGTTTCGTACTGTAAAAGGCCCGTGAGCCACTTGAGGTAGAATATTACAGAATAAGAGGCACAAATTATGCATGTGAGGAAGATAACGGTTACCCTTAGGAATCGGTTCCATAACGCAATGGTTCTTGGGATAAAACTAATTGATTGGAACTTCTCGATTATACCATTTCAAAGCTTCTTCTTATTTTTTTTAATACCATAGGACACCCAATCAGTATATAACTCACTACTCAGTAGAAGTGTCCTAGCAAGGTGGTATACGTTGGAACCATTTATTTAGCCCACAGGGGTAGATTATTCTAGTTCCTCGTACCATTCCTTTTCAGGATATCTCAGTGTTCAGTAACTCAACTCTCCAAGATTTTTTTCCTCGACTATATATATATATATATATATATATATATTCATTTTTTTCTTTTTTACTTAGAAAGAGGTTGTATTTTGCTTTTAAATCTAAATAAATCCTTAATTCGCCAGTAATTTACAATCGCCTGATGATATGCATTGATACGCATCGAAGTATAGGATTGTTGTATACGGAATAAATTCCAATAACCAACAAATACTATTCTAAAAAAGAGTGCTCAATACAGAGTAGAGTAAATACAATTATTTATTCGAAAACTATAACATAAAAATGTTATAAAATCACTACAAAAATAGTCATTTTGTTTCAACACTTGTGGTGTCTTATCAAGTTCAACATCATCACTTAATAAGACACCAGAAGTGATGAAACAAAATGACTATTTTTATAGTGATTTTATAACATTTTTATGTTATAATTTCGAATAAATAATTATATATATATATATATATATATAATTCAAATGTGAAAAAAATGTAAAGTGACAACGTACTGGCCGTGTTGGCAAAAAGCATTCCCATCGCTATAGATGCACATATATAAAAATCTAAATATTTAGTTAAAGAAAAGCACATTTACAGAATTTTTAGACATTTTAAGTCCAGAAAAGAAAATAGTTGTACGAATGCAGGAAAAATTGAACATAATCTTAATCATTGCATCACGTCAGTCGTCTTTAATGAAACATGTATAAAAGAAGGATGCCTGCCAAAATACAGAATTATATATATAATGGTAGTACTGGTTTTAAAAAACCTCGGTTATATATATATATATATATATATATATATATATATATATATATATATATAACATCAATGGAAAGACTTGATTTTCGAAAAAGGACTGGCTGTAATTTTCTGACAGTCGGTCACAGATAATAAGAAATAAAAAAAAAATGTCTCCGAAACAGACATAAAAAGGCAATCAAATAAAAAAAAAACATGATTATTAATCACGAAGCAGAAGCAATCAGTAGAAGCAGACTTTGATAAGAAATGACATAATTTTGACACCTGCTCTGAATTTACAAAAAATATTGTTGTGTCATTATTTGATTTCACTCATCGCATAACTTTCTTCTTCTTCTTCTTCTTCTTCTTCTTATTATTATTATTATTATTATTATTATTATTATTATTATTATTTTCTAACTAAGTTTCTTTGTCCGAAACGCATTCTCTTCTTTCAATCATTTTCTTTTTTTTCTAATTACCACACATTTCTTCTTCTTCTTCTTCTTCTTCTTCTTCTTCTTCTTCTTCTTCTTCTTCTTCTTCTTCTTCTTCTTCAGGATGTAGGCGATCGTGGTTCGCTACAATCTCTTTTTCAGCATATTCTTTATTTTTATTTTCTTCTATTTCTTCTTTTTCTTCTTCTTTCAATAATCTTTCAATCGTTTCCCTCCTTATTTTCTTTTCATTCTTCTAATTCCCTTTTTTTTTTAAATTTTCGTTTCTTCTTATGATTTCCATCCGAATTTCTGGAATGATGGTAGGTACCCTTGTTACAGTGACCAACAAACATCCAAGACTATTTGGGTGAAAAAGAGACGCTCATTTGAAACAAGAGACATCAGAAAACAACCAAGTTTATCATTATTTATATTATTTACACTCGTACTATTACCCTCATTTTTGCTCTTATTATCACGACATTTAGGCTTTAAACTCGGACTATTTTTTGATGTTAAATAAAGGATAATATGAAATATCTAATAAATGCTGAAAACGGAAATTAGTTTCAGTTTTTCTGTATTTATTAGATATTTTACATTATCCATGTTCTAACGTATATTTTCGGTTTTCAGTATTTATTAGATATTTTACATTATCCATGTTCCAACGGATATTTCCGGTTTTCAGTATTTATTAGATATTTTACATTATCCATGTTCCAATGTATATTTTCGGTTTTCAGTATTTATTAGATATTTTACATTATTCATGTTCCAACGGATATTTCCGGTTTTCAGTATTTATTAGATATTTTACATTATCCATGTTCCAACGGATATTTTCAGTTTTTCTGTATTTATTAGATATTTTACATT